GGTTGGGTTTCAGTTTTGTCCTTTTAGTTCACAGCTCTTGCTGCAAGTTGGATTATTTCAGGCTTGCTTATGGGTTTCATTGCAGCTGAAAGATTTATTTTAATGAGAAAAGCTTTGCAACCAAATGAAGCCTCCCGGGAAACGCATACCCTCTGGTAATTCGCATGGTTCTGTGTTACATTGCTCTTTTCCATCAGCAGGCAGCTCTGAAGGTTCCCCCTACCCACACCAGAGCTTTCTTAGAAAGGGGGAATGAGTATGGGTGTGTATTTGTCCCTCTGAGTGTTACAGGTTGATCACACTACTGGCATGACAAGGCTTATTTGAGCAATTCCCACTAGAAGATCAATGGTGTCAGTGTACATTAACCCTGTACTATAGCACCCCTGCCTTTCTCTCTTTTGCTGTTTCCATGCAAAGCTCTATTTCTGCTTATGTTTTTGGCTTTGCAGGATCCTTGCTACCTTTGCCACTGTACCAAAGTCGATTAGCACTCTTTATTGCCAAGCTGTAGCATTCCCTACTACTCTTCAGTTCTAAGAATTATCCTTGCTTCTGCTGATGGGTAGATATTTTCTCCTTTCCTTTGATCATGGCAGAGTACTATGGGTCCTGTATTTAAAGAAGATCTAAAGAAGTTGTTGGTAATAAGCATGGAGTGTTGACAAATCCTGTACATAAGGCCTTGTACTGTAATTTGTGTCTTTTTGTCAACAGAGCGTTAATCCTGGCGTTCCTTTTTAATACATTACATGTATTTATAGCTGTGAAAATGGGGTGGAAGTGGCCACTTCCACTCCTGCTTCCCAGGGTTAATGGTGCTCAAAATTGCAATAAAAGGATGGAGGGTACCTCTTGGCATCAGACCTTCTTCCCGATCTGATACTTGCTCAGTTTTTCTAGACTGGTGGTCTTCAATTCAGATTTATTGGGGGTCTTTCAGTGCAGCCTGCAGCCATGGAAAACAAAAATGTTAAAAGGGAAGAGATCGGGAAGAGGAAACTTCCTGGCAGACGTGGCTTGCCCATTATTGTTTCCCACAAGCCAATTAATCTTGTGACCCCTGCACTGTCTTTGGGCAGCGCTTCTTTTCCGCCTGAGTCACCAGCGTTTCATATCTGAAATAGAAATATCTATTTCATATCGCCATATCTGAAGTAGGGGTGACTCTGGAAACATGGGAGCCTTTCTTCTCGCTGCTGGCCTGATCTGTGATGAGGATGGCAGGTGCAGAGCTCCAGGAAGCAAAACCACTTGTGCTGGTGCTGGAAAGTTCCTTTCCCTTGCATGGATGAAGTTGCTTTCTTTGGACAGGATTTGTGGTCAGGGTAGACAGCTGTATATGCCGCAGTGGGCAGCTAAGGGATGCTTCTTGTTTTGAGAATCAATACCCAACATACCTCTGGGAGTGAGGAAGGAGAAAGGCTAGGGAACACTGGTCAGGCCAGCCTCCATGGAGAATCTAGGTAAAAATTCAGCTCCTGACTGGGCAAAATGTTGACACAGCTGCCCTTCCAGGATCTCTTTGGACTAGCAAAGCTCTAGAAGACAGGGCTGACTAGAGACTGTGCAGAATTAAAGAGTGAGGAAAAGGCAAAGATCTGTGAAATAGCCTCCTGTATCCCTTTCCTCCTCTCACTGAGAACCCCCGAGAAGCTGTTGCTCTTTCCTTCCAGTGGGTGGTTTTCTTTAGGAGACTTCAGTGGGTTCAGCTTGAACTTGGCTTCTTTCAGTCAGGAAATAGCCAATTCATGACAGCAGCAACCACAGCAATCCGCATCCATCCCAGAAGTCATGCAAGAAACAGCCGGTAACCTCTGCAGTGCTAAAGCTAGGAGGCAGAAAGGTGGAAAAGCAACCTGGAATTGCTGCCTGGAAGGTTCTGCCTGTGGTTGAGAGAAACCAAGGGAAGGAGAGGGTGCTGTATTTGCTGTCTGCGCAATGGGAACAGCTTCTTGCCTCCCAGCCAAACATTTTCCAGACTCTACTCTGATGACGCAGCTGAACAAAAGGCTGTCAGATTTGAGCCTTTCGTCTGGCTCCCTGGCCTGACAGAGACAACAGAAAAGGCTCCTTCTTCCACTAGACTTCTGGCTCAGCAACAGGCCAGCACCTCGGCTGCTGTAGATCAGTATTGTCTTTGTTGTGATGCCTGAGAATCTGGCAGCAGGTTTTCAGTTTAGGGACATGGCGTAGTAGGAGCCTTTGCTGCATGCAGGTGGTTATGGAATTGGACTAATGCAAATATCTGAGGCTTGCAAAGACAAGCCCATGTTTTTGCATTAGGGTTACAACTGGAACAAGTGGAACTTGTGAACATCCAGGCTATTGACATACCTCAGCTGATGAGTGTGGGAACTTGGACTGTGAGTGACTGTATGTATGTAATTATCCACAGACTTCCCCACTTAATATAAATGACAGGGTTGAAGTTCGCAGTGAAATTTTGTGGGGTTCTTACTGAAGATTATTTTAGAACTTTTCACTAGAAACAAACCAGCAGTTATCTAGATCTGTTTTGGACAGCGTGAAGACCTGCTGGAGTTAACAGTAGGCTTTTTTCATGGTCAAATTATTTAATAATAATAGCTCCAGTTTCTTGGAATTTCTTTGGACGTGTCTGGTTCTCTTTGCTGCTGGAGACAGGATCCTGGACTAGATGAAGTTCTGATCTGATTTAGTCTGGATGTTTCCAAAGTTTCCCTTGTTGCAGAGTATAATTATTTAGATGTTTATTTAGGTTTTTGTTATAATTATAATGCCCTCCTCTTTCCTGAAACACAGCCCCCTCTGGGGTAGAGGAAATCTGTCTTCTGGTATACTAGATGGTACAGAAAAATGTCAGAAAGAAAAATTCAAGTGGAGCAATTAAGTTTATCTCCATGTAGTGCCATGGGAAGGCTACTAGCTTGTATTTTTAGGCTCTCCTATGAGAGTCCCACATATATTTAGCTCTGTTCTACAGATGGACATTTAAGATAGATAAGTTTTAATTCCCTTTCCCTGACGTTTTCCACTTGATGACTAATGTGATAGTATTGTTAAATCCACTAAACACTGTTAACCATAAACAACAATAATCTAACAACAGAATGCAAGCAAACAGAAAGCTTTACCATATTTTATTTTTTAACATATATTAGCAGCAGCTACACTGTTTCCTGACTTTATACTCATGTAATTTTCCTGCAAGTCTTGTATTAAAAGACTCCTGGCCAATTCAGTCACCTACATGGATTAGGTTGTTAGGCCTACACAAGGCCAGATTCAGATGGAGCCATATTCCAAGTCTAAAGCAACATTTATGCCTTTCATGCCCACATCCAAAGGCGCTTTATGGAACAGGGTGTTGAATACTCTGACTCAGTGCCTTTTACCATCTTGTCCCGCTGGAAAATAAAATAAATTTTCCCACTGGAAATGAATTGTTTTTTTCAGAACTCAGACTTGGATTGATGCGGAAGAGAAATGTCTTGACACTTAGAGAGTCAGCAGAGTTAACTTAAACCGGTGTAGGGCCTGTTCTAAATGGTTCAGTCAGCAGCCTGACTGGGCCGTTCCCACTACCTGTGAAGGTTGCTGCCCTTTCAGGCTAGGCCGGTGAAGTCTCAACTGTTCAATCGGCGCTGTGAGGGCATGGTTTCATTCCTTCCATTTTAAGGAGTCCTGCATCTAAAGAAGTAATCCCCTAAACTAGAAAAAATGACCGTCTCTGATCTGCAGATGCAGAGTAAGGCGATCTGAACTTTATCTGGTCTGTGAGTATATACACATAAAGGCTGTATGTAGATTTTCTTTTGTGAAGCACTGTTTGGAGTTTAAGAATTTACTGCTTCTTTCTCTGCTGTTTGTCACTGATTGTTTTCAGTAACTGACTGCATTAATACTCCTAATCATTGTGGGGGACAGTGAAGTGGATTATATAAACACAGTTAAATACATCAGTACAGGCTTTAGGAACTGGTTAATGTAATTTAACAGTCTTTCCCTTGAGCAAAGACTGCTGAAAATTCAGTCATTGCTTGATGTTGTTGCTGTCTCTTGGCACAGCTGTCAGGGCTGGTATTATCTTATGAGTGTGCAAAGGAGAAGAGGAGCAGTGTATCAGGTCTTCTGTCGTTAAGGTTACCACGATGTGTTGCAGTGTGTTTGTCTTGGTGCCCGTCAAGCAACTACTAGCATAGTTCAGTTCTTGCGTGAAGGGCTGAAAGCGTAAGTTCTAAATCTGACCCAGCTTTCCGTGTTCTGGCCTCTGTGACAGGGAAACCTGTTCCCACGTTGCTGTATTCTGGGGCTTTTAGTTGCGTTCTAGGCTCTTTTCCCTGCTCTGCCCTAAGCTCCCACAAATTCAGTCTTTGGCGTTATTATCCTTTTGCTAAGATAGCTGCTGTAAAGCCCTTGCTTACAAATCACAGGACAGAGTAAATATTGTTTTCTAGGTTGTCTTCTGAGACTTGAGCTTGAAGTAAAACCATATGAGGAGACAAAGATCAAAAAACCACTGAAGGCAGCAGAATAAATCCAGTCTCAAGCAGACAGCTGGATGAGTGTCAAACAAAGGAAGGAACAGCTGGATCAAGTAAAGCACAAGGAAAATTAGTTCCATCCCTAGGGGGAGGGAGAAAGATTGTTTTGCGAGCCCAAAGCTGTGTGGGACCAACTTTACCCGATAAAACTTTTACATCAAAGTCAGGGGCAGATCAGAAGGTCCCAGAGGGAGGGGAAAGGGAAGAGTGGGTGTTCGTAGTAATTGTGCAGAAAGCGTTAGGGAAAGGAAGGAGGTGGAGTATGAGTGTAGGGGGAGAGCAGAGTGGGGAGGTGGGGAGTTGGAAGTTGTAGGTGGAGTAATTCTGCGGAATATGAGCTGCTGTCCACAGCTTTCTGGATGTAAATTGATGAGGTCATAGTGTTTTCCAGTTACCAAAAAAAAAAAAAGTTAAAAAAAAAAAAGTCTTCAACTTGTTTTTCAAGAGAGACGAAAACACGGAGAAGCTGAAGAAATGGAGCAACTAGCAAAACTCCTTCTGTGGCAGATTTTGCTTCAGCAAAGTAAGCTCCTAGCTGATCGGCATGATGTTACTTGTTTTTATTTCAACTGCAGAGGACGGGGCTGGTGGTTAGCTGGAAGATTTTAAACTGTTATCTTTGTAAGATTTTGTTCAGATTCCTAAGTTAGCTGTGTTTTCATCTGTGAGGGGAGGGAATCATGAATTTCTCATGCTTTTTGGAGAGGGAAGGGGAGAGAATGGAGAAATGTTTGAGATACTCCAAACAGCATGTTTGTGCAATCTATATTTTTTACTATCAGTTACCTTGATCAGCAAATTCAAAAACAATAAGCTTGAATGTGAGTACAGTAAAGCTTGCATAGTTAGATTTACATGATCCAAGGTTAGTTTATACTTTTGAAAAGGCAGAAACAGCTGGTACGTGTGTGTGTGTGAGTGTTCAGGATAGAGGAAAAAATTGAAGTTGTTTGTTTGGGGTGGTGTGTTTTTTTGGTTTTTTTTGTTCCTCCTGTCAGCGTAAAGACAGAGACTTAGGAATTCACTTTTGGATAAGGTGCAAGAAAGGGATGAAGACAAGTCTGATGAGCTTACAGTAACAGGATAGCTTGTACCTTTTCCTTAATCACAAAGTTTTCTGTAAGAGCTGAAAGCAGATTCAGGGTCCTGAGAGCCTGGCCCCAAGATAAACAGAGAAACCCCAGTAAGGCTTGGATGGCAGGGGAAGATTTGAGGACTAATTGCAAAACCCCAGCAAATCCACACTTGCAACACTTTGGGCTCTAGGGAAGGCACCTATGAATAAAGGACCAATTACAGCTCTACAAACAGTATGGAGAGACTTCATTCAGGGTGCTGACAGTAGGAAGTGAGGAGCACAAGCTTTTTGGGGACCGGTGACCCCCCTGCTCTTCACAGCCCTGTTAATGAAAGGCTGTGGCTAGCCACCTGAGCCTCAGTACGTAGATGGAGTAAGCTGAAGAGTTCTCAGTTTGGTCCCTAATTAATCTAGTTTCCATGTCACCACATCATCCCCAGTTTTGCAATGCCTCAAGGCAAGGTTTAGGAATTGGCAACATATGGGATCAGTCACAGGGACAGAAGGGTTAAAGTGGCTCAGAAATGGTGGGTGGGTTAAGCCTGGAGAAGGAGGAGAGGCCATATATTGTATTTCAGAAGCACCAACCAGTCTAGCTACTCCCCAGTGTGGTTTAGCATGGTGACAGAGCTTGAGGAGCACCTAGGGCAGGAATAGCAGGTTGGGTTGCTGTAGAACAGTGGGGGAGCTGCGTAGAGGCAACAGTATCCCACTTAAGGACGGATGATCTCTGACGGACATTTTTCAGGTGTATTTTGGAGAGATAACTGTCCGTATGCCAGGCAGCCCTGATGTTTGAGTCCTGCTATCCCCACACGAATCAGGTTATAACATAATGAGTGAAGACAGGAAGGGGAGAAGGGAGGAAATCTGTGCCGTTCCATATTTGCTGAGATGATCCTTTCTGGAGAGGAACCACACCCTCAAGTGTTAATGTCTTGCAGGGAGGAACAGCACTGTGTTTGGAATGGCTCTGCAAACTATTCTGTGGGCCTAGAGCCAACATGAAGTACACAAAAAGAGAAGGGTTTATAAAGCTGAGCTAATATCTCAACTGTCTGTGAGAAAGTTAGGGCAAATTTGTGAGGGATCCTGATTGTGCAGTGGCCAAGATGGCGATTGGTTTCTTGTGCAGACAGAAGGCTTTTTCCTTTCTGCCGAGGCAGCACATTCTTGCTTTTTGCCGATTCATGGGCATGTTCCTACCTGCAGTGAGGTGTTGGAATCGTTGCGACTAGATGGGTAGTTAAGGGCTCTCCAGTTCTGACATCCTTTTTGAAAGCAGAAGACTGCTGTTGGGAAAGTTGTTCCAGGAAGCTTTTAAAAATAAACTTAGATAATAAACTTAGACTTAGATAAAAGCCCGGTTCAAAGCCTGCCTTGACCATCAATTGGCTTTGTAAGGGAAACCTTGTTTTACTGAAAAGCTTAGTCTTGCAGTCCTAGGCCAGCAGGGGCAGGTGGTGAATGGGAGATATCTGGGTGGAACTGTATTGCTTGCTATCTCCCTCCTTTGCCTCTTCGAGATGGGCCCAGATTCCTGGTTACTGGTCAGTAGGTTTTAAAAAAATAGCTACCAGAAGAGAGCTGAACTCATTTGTGTAGCTGTCATCTTGATGTTACTGCATCATAAGCCATTATGGCCTCTTACACGCTGGATCAGTTCCCTAAAGAGTCAGGATGGAGCCACTGCCATTCTCCAAAAGTATTTGGAAATAGCTTGGTAGCACAGGCTGCTGTTTTTGCAATAATTGTGTAATGGCTCTACAGAGACCATTAAATCCCCTGCACAGACAATGGGATTTATGGGAGAAATAAGGAATCTGACACATTTTCGTGAAGACAGAGATTTTGTGAAGAACGTGTCCTTTCTCTAGAACTAGACCATCCCTCTGTGCCCCTAATATAAAGGTGATGTTCCTTCCTTTTTCAAAAGAAAAAAGAAGCTGAGAAGGACCAGGAGATACTAGAGAAGGTGTGCAAAGGAATAATGAGCTGAGCTTACTTAGGCAAGTGGAGTGTCAACCTCACAGACCGTTGTTTCAACCCACACACCTGGTGGGTTATGACACTTCTTTCTCCAGTGACTTCTTAGTTTGTTTTCTTTTCTGCCCACCGCTACAATCTGGACTTCAGTGACGCTTATTGCATTGTAAGGCACTATTCCAGGCAGGTTATCCTCACTCTGTTGACATCAATGGCAAGGCTCTTCCTGAGTTCAGCAGAAGCACTTCAGGTAGAGCTGGTGTGGTCATGTCCCGTGGAGTGTATATGCCACTTGGCACTCAGGCTACCGCTTAACGGTGTTTGCAGTTTCCTTTTCTACTGTGGTAGTCTTTCATCCTCCAGTATGAGACAGGAACTTAGTGCTTTCATTAGCACATGCATCTACCTGTGAAGCAGACCCTCTGCCAGCAGCTACCTCCAGGAGGAGATAAGTGGTGGTATTGTTCAGGTAAGACTCAAGGGACAGTCTTCTGTTTGAATTGCTCCAAGGACACTGCCTAGAGAGCTCTAAGTATATAAGATGTCTTTCAGACCCTGAGGCTTTTACTTCTAGTTTGCCTGCAGTTTTTGTGGCTTAATTCTTTACTTGAAAAGTGGATGGGATTCAAGAAGTAAGAGCTGGCTCTGCCTTTTACAAGGGATTAGGAAACACTTTTGCAGGCTGTTTTCCTCTTCCTATATTGTGGGACCAGCAGAATTCCTCTGGGATCCTGCTGAGAGGCATGCTGAGTCTGTACAGAACATGTCAGGGGACAGCATATAGCTGTCTTTTTGTTGCTTTTTTGTGGGTACATCACTCAGAGAGGACAAAGTGATTATCCATCACACGGAATTTGAAATTTTAAAATGAAAGCTACAGTGAGTTCTGTGTTGACAACTATTGAGGTATTTGGTGGTTTTGAAGTTCCAGGTCCTGGAGTCCTGTGATTACATAAATCTGAGCTTTCATTAGGTGCATAAATACTCCTTTATTTTACAGTTGCAGGTTGGGAAGTGCGACTCACCAAAATAACTGTTTCCACTTTACCCCAATCCTGTAGTTCATAAGCTGTCAACTTTGCTGGGTTATGGATATATCTCTGCCTTTGTTCAGTAGCTACCATGTTATACAAACAATAACTTTAAAAAGCATGGCTGGGGGACATGTCTTGTTTGCTCTGCTTGTCTCATGTAGCAGAGCTAGGTCTCATAGCAGAGGGAGGAGACTGAAAAGAGATAAAGGCTTATTCCTTCTTTTAACTACTGCTTAATGTTCAGGTTATTGAAGGTCAGTTGTTTTAAATTCCATTTTCTCCAGGCATACAAGAGATCAGAGACATTCCAGATTCCTTAGATTTCTAAGTGATCTCATTTGCAGCCATGTCAAGTAAGTTTGAGTCTTATCCATGACCTGATGTATGTGTGCAGATTTCCAGCATTGCTGGGGAATCGGAACAATCAGTTCTTCCTTCTTTGTCTTGTGGAGTTCCTGTGCCTCTTGTAAAGACTTGTCCTTCCTTTCCCTTCTAGAACTTTGCTTATTGGCTGCTATGCCTCTGTCTTTTTGATATTTGCACCTACCCCATTCTCTGAGACTATGAATGATACCCGAGGGCAGGCTTCAGACCCAAAGCTTCTGTCCAGAATTTGTGTGTCTGCATGTGAGTGCGCACAGACATGCAGTGAAAAACCCTTTCTCTTCCATGGCTGTCTCTGTGCTGAACTCCAACACAATACTTAACTATGCCTTCATCTTGGATGGGTTTTGTTCTAGTGCATAATGTCACTGTAACCCTGGGCCGTTCAGCATTGTGTGGCAACACTCAGCAAGTCAAAATAGCAGTATGGTAAAATGCAGGCAAGGTATCGACAGACTCTTCCCTTTTCCCAATGGGAAGCAACATCTCTTGGTCACTGAGGGGCAGACCTAGAAAGACCCTGGAGTGTAATTGTCAAGTAAGCGAGAGTGCTCCTGCCCTGCTTCTTAGGGAGCTGCTAGCAGAAGCTTTAAGAGTGGAGGGAAAAAGAAGCTGTCAAAACCCAAAAGACATAAGCTTTTCTTATCTAAAAGCTGTTACATTACAGACAACTTCACTGCTTCCTTGTTTTACAGAGAGGTGTGTTTGGAAGTGTGCTGGAGAAATGCTGGCTGACAGGGCTCCAGCAGCCTAACCTGGCAAACAGCCCTTGTGGGTGGGATATAGAGTTGGGACCTGGGTGGTCCTTACCCTGCCAGGAGGGCCAGCTAAGAGATACAAAACAAGGGGTTAGTGCTATTGTTAGTTTAGGGCTGCGACAGGCCGCTGAGCAGAGCATATTGGAAGGCTTAGGTGGATACTTTTGTTAGTTGTTAGATTTATGATGCTGCATTTGGGCTCAATGTTTTTTACATTAACTTGCAAGAGGAAAGGAGAAAAGTAAATGCATTCCTCTTGCTGAGCCAGGAGAGGATGTTTTTGTAGCACCAAATCAATTTGCTGTTAATGAGCAGTAATGCAAGACTCTGGAAGCACTGGCTGTGCAGCCAGACAGCTTGTAGACACCACTCCCTAGCATGCAGGTCGCTGTTCATGTTGTGATACTGCGTTGTTCCCTTGCCGCAGGGCTAACACCACCAATTCAGACACATGGGCATTGCTTTGTCACACTGATACAAGTGGATGCTGTTGTGCTGAGCGCTGGTTGTCCTGTCACAAGTAAGACTGATTTCTCCTGGAGAAGGCTGATTTGGTGCTGTAAAAGAGCTTTGTATTATTCCTTTGTTGTCCTAAGCTAAATCTAAGTCCTGGCTTCCAGAGACAGAGGCTGGCAGCTTATCATATTCTACCATCAGGCATTTTGCAGCCTATTAGGAGAGACCATCAAATGATGGAATTATAATGTCTTGTGTATGATGTCTGTTTCTTATATCCAGAGGAGTACAGATATTTTTTTTTTAATTTGTGGTTCTGAGATTATAAATGCAGAAAAAATAACTTACATTTGGAGTGTCTTTGAACTGGCAGTTCAACAGACGGTGCTGCTCATTTTTGTTCTCTGGTGTCACTGCCCAGTGTTTTGTGATAGGAGAAGGAAAGGAAACAGAGTTTATTCTCAGCCCATGCACTGGGGGTGTGGTTAAAATAGCCCCAGTCTGGAGTTAATTTATTCTCTTTGGAAATGCATAAATTCCAGGGCTGAAAAAAAATACAGCCTTTGTCTGGAGGACATTGTGCCTATGACATTAGCAGGACAAAACATCTAATGATCTTGCTGGAACCCATTTGGGCTTGACTGGTTAGAGAGATGAATGATGTCATTGTATTGGGAATCTGAATCGTTCTGTCAAAGCATGATGCCAGGAGACCTCCTAGACCCCTCCTACACAAAAAGCAGGAGGGGATGGACCAGAGAAATGCAGAAACAAAGGCGTTAGTTCATTTCTTGCAAAGTTCTTCTTGCATAGATCTGAGTCACATGAGTTGGAGAGAGTTGCAGTTGCATCCAGAGCATTACAGTGTTAACTGTGCAGATGAGGAATGTCAGCGGGAGAGACTCTGGGCGGCATGCTCCCAAAGTGAGGATGTGTTTGCCCATCAGAGTGCTGGCAACAGTGTGTGTCATGAGTGTGAAGCGAAACAGCCAAGTCGCGTCACTCCGCATTTGACAGGTAGACTCAGCATCCTGCAGAGTTACAGAATTCCCTCAATGCGTTAATCCCACCATCAATTTCCTAGGAGTTTGATTTGGAGTCTTGGAGATGAAAGTTATCTTTTGGTGCTCAATCTAGTGCATCAGCAGTGTGGATTCACTTCCCTCTACTTGGGCAGCTCTAACCCCCAGCAAATGAGCTGGGGTCAGCTCTGTCTCCAAGTCTATTCAGGCCTTTGCCTTAGCAGAGGAAGGTGACTGAGATGTGGGTGTCTGCTGGGGAAGAGATGGAAGTGAAACTGTCACATTTCATTTCACAATGGTCAAACAGAACAAAAATGAACATGGTTTTAACTGGTCACATCCGGGTAGTACCCCTCTACTCCCCTCTGGTGAGACCTCACCTGGAGTACTGTGTCCAGCTCTGGAGTCCTCAGTACAGGAAAGACATGGACCTGTTGGAGCGGGTCCAGAGGAGGGCCACAAAAAAGATCGGGGGATGGAACACCTCTCCTATGAGGAAAGGCTGAGAGAGTTGGGGTTGTTCAGCCTGGAGAAGAGAAGGCTCCGGGGAAACCTTATTGCGGCCTTTCAGCACTTAAAGGGGGCTTATAAGAAAGATGTGGACAAACTTTTTAGCAGGCCCTATTGCGACAGGACAAGGGGTAATAGTTTTATACTAAAAGAAGGTAGATTCAGACTAGATATAAGGAAGAAATTTTTTACAATGGGGGTGGTGAAACACTGGCACAGGTTGCCCAGAGAGGTGGTGGATGCCCCATCCCTGGAAACATTCCAGGTCAGGTTGGACGGGGCTCTGAGCAACCTGATCTAGTTGAAGATGTCCCTGCCCACGGTGGGGGGTTGGACTAGATGACCTTTAAAGGTCCCTTCCAACCCAAACATTCTATGTTTCTATGAACTGTTCTTGCCCCGCTGTTTCTGCTGATGCCTTGTTATTTTTGCAGGACCAATATCAGATCCTAAGATAATATTGGTGCCTCCCTGCCCGCTCCTGCCTCCTTGGGTTCTTGTTTTTGTCTTACACATTTGTTAAATATTTTCCTCTTGGGCAGAAGGGGCCTTTCAGACAGTTTTGGTGGGTGATGCGTTGACAGATAGCTTTGGTGTAACGTTTGAATAGCATGGTGGGAAAAACTCTGTGATTATAGATGGGATGAAATAAAGACTTGGACTGTATGAAATTCAGTTGCAGGCTAAGCATATCCCACATTGCTCTTAAGCTTAAGTTTGTTGGGTCAGGCACTGTCTTTTGCTGTAAGTGTCTGCTGCAGCATGGACCAACCAAGGTCTGAGCCTCTGGGCTTAACCACAATACACGTGTTAGATAAGTATATTAACAGAGAAGGGAGGAATAGATGGAATAATAACAGAGGAGGTGGCTGCTGACTATGAGTGTATTTGTAGGTTTTTCTTCATTTTGTTGTCAGTAACATTCTTTTTTTCTGCTTTGACAGGTTCTGTTTATTTATATTCAGGTGAGTGACATCTGTGTAATCTGCCTGTTTTTGTGGTCATGAGAAGAAATGAGAGGGACTCTGATTCCATGACATGCAATGGGGGTTTCATTGCTAACTTCCACAGGCATGAACCATGCATCCCATGAACTAGTGTCTCTAAACTTCGATTAAACTGGGGGTTAGGATTAGGAAGGGTGGGTAGGACAGGTCAAATCTATCATCCTGATAACAGACATCATAGACATTGTTTTCACTGAATGAAATCAGTGTTTTTAAGTGGCTTTCTATTGTATTGCTGCATGAGAGAGCTCTATGTTGGTCTTGAAAGTTACTTTATTTTGGGTGGAAGGTGCGCAGAGATTCTATGACAGGTCTGAGCCCTACTCTAGTGTCTTCTTCACATGCCATTAATCTGGTAACTCTGTTTTTTGTTCTTTGCTCCTGGCGCTCAGTCCCAGCTGATGCCTCAAACCCTCAAGACAGTGTTGTAGTGTCAGTGTTAAATATCAGTGCTGCACTGGGGTCACAGGCTGTCCTGCCCTGCAAGAGTTACCGCATGGTGTGGACCCAGGATCGTCTGAATGACCGCCAGCGTGTAGTCCACTGGGATGTGTACAGCAACTACTATGGAGATAACAAGATGGAGAGGCTATGTGACATGTACTCAGCTGGAGATCAGCGTGTGTACAGCTCCTACAACCAAGGGAGGATATTCATGCCCCAGAATGCATTTACAGATGGCAACTTCTCCTTGGTGATTAAAGGTACTAAGCAGCATCTTTTCTCCCTATGCTGTCTGCAAAATGGAGGATTCATGACTAAATTAACTTTGTGTTTTTCAGTGAAAATGGCTATTTTACAGAGCATTTTCTATAAATAAATAAATATCAGTCTAATGAGGTTAATGAGGTTCTCTGAAGCACTGCAATAGTGTTTTATTTCCCTTTGAAACAGTCCCATTTTAAAAGAGAATTGGTAACAACTCATTGCCTCAAAATCACTTGGGCTTCTTGTGGACCTTTGACTGTATTTCAGTTCCTGAACTATAAACCCAAGATTGTCTTTCTTCCTGTGCCTACTCTTAGCTAAACTTAAATCGGCTTTCTCTTTCCATCTGTTAATGCAAATAAATTCACACAACAGCAAATAGACTGAACAAATTATTATATTAGGTGACATGATTCTTCTCTGTTTAGCCCACCCTGGTGACAAGGACGGGTTAGAACCAAGTTACATAAAGGCCCTTTTGCATCCATACAGGCATTTGGGAAGCTATAAATGACAAAAGTAATCATTGTCTCAGCATAAAACATTCAACTTCCCCTCTTTTCCTTGTTGTACTAGATATTGCAGAGAGTGATGAAGGCACATATTCTTGTAATCTTCACCACCACTACTGCCACTTATACGAAACTGTGAAAATCCAACTAGCTATCACCAAGAAAGGTAGGTATGACAGGCAGCTTGGTGTTCCTCTCTGCAAGGGACCTGGTCTGGCAATTGGAGTCCAGTGGCCACCAGGACTCTGTTGAATTCACAGTGGGACTTGTGTGCTGATTCACGGTAGGCCTTGCATGCTGTTCTGCTAGTGTCGGAGAAGAGCAGTGTGGATGCAGGGTTTTGCCCATGCCTTCTCAGTTGCAGGTTTGGGGCACAGACGCCACAAGAGGCTTGGAAAGCATCAGGAGACAGTGGTGCTCACTATGCTGTTTGCTGTCAGATTCCCTGAGTTTCAGAAACTTTATTCAATGCGTGCTATTTATGAACCTCTCTCCTTTCTTGGCATGTGCCAAACAATGCATGGAGCCTGTTAAGTTAAATGTTTACTCTAGGCAGCCCAATTAGCTAACTGTCCTCTTACTGCTCCAGCAGTAGAACATCCCTAGTAAAACTCCATCATCAGTCAGGTCAGCCACAAAGATCTGCCTTGTACATTGGTTGGTGAGTTTACCCTGTGAAGCCTGTAGTTAAAAAGCCTCCTCAAGTTACCACACCTTAACTCCAGCTCTAAAAGCAAGCTTCTAAGGGCTGTTGGCAACTGCAGTATGTGCCACCTATGCCACACATGCATCACTACTGTGTCATTTAAATCGACCTTTGTATAATGCACAAGTGAAGCTACTGGGGCTGATTGTGCTGGGAAGCTGTTGAAGGGCTGATGGGATAAGTAGAGGAGTGCATCTCTTCTGCTGCTGTTATCACAGCTTCTACGCAATAAAAACACGCAGGCAGGCCTGTGAGCCCCAGTCTGCTCATCTGTGTTTTGGTTCTTCTGTTATTCCTTTTCAAGAACAAAATACAAAACAGTGCTTTTTGAACTCCTCCAGTAACTACGGCATTTGTGGGTAGAAAAGCATTTCCTGCTTGGAGAATTGGGATATAGCATATTGAAGATGAAATCTGTTGTTCTCGTTCCATTCTTAGTCTGTAGAGAGAATATACTTCCTGCTTTCTAAAGCAAGAGATTAACTCTCAGTTATAAGGAAAAGAAAGTGGTCTTGCTTAATGCACTGACCTAGGATGTAGAAGATAAAGGTGCATTCCTTTACTAACTGCTGAAGCAAGTGTGAACAAGGCACACTACCCCTGTGGCACTTCAGGATCTTTGGAGGGGATGTGTTATAGGATTGCAGGGTCTGAGAGCAATCTTGGGTGTGCCTGGGTGTCCTTAAGCATAGGGCAAGTATGTAAAGATGTGTGTACCAAGGTTGCACAACTTGTATTGTCTCCTCTACAGCTGAGGATGCAAATCAGTACTGGGATGGGGAAAAGCCTGTGATTGTTGCCCTAGAAGGCAGCACAGTGATGCTCCCCTGTGTGAACCGTAACCACATCTGGACTGAACGGCACAGTGAGGAGGAACAACAAGTGGTCCACTGGGACAGGCAGCCCCCAGGGGTTCCTCATGACCGGGCTGACCGCCTCATTGATCTGTACGCCTCTGGCGAGCGTCGTTCTTACGGACCTCTCTTCATTCGTCAGAAGATGAACATCACTGACACAGCCTTTGCCCTGGGTGACTTTTCCCTGCGGATTTCACAGCTGGAAAGTGCAGATGAAGGCACTTACTCCTGCCACCTGCACCATCACTACTGTGGCCTGCACGAGCGCAGGATCTACCAAGTCTTCGTGACAGAGCCAGTGAGAGAGAAGAAGGTGGTGAACCTCACAACTCACAACATTGCCCCAGCCATAGGTAAGTGGCCTCTGGAAGTGGTTCTCCTGATTGAGGAAGAGATAAGTATCTACAGTTGCACCTTTGAGCTCTGAAGAGCTTGGTAAGCCACGGGACAGGAATATGACACGTTATTCCCCATCATCATCACCTCAGGAGGCCTTTGCTCCAAATGCCAGAATGTCCTTGTCTTTTCTGTCCCTCCACAGTGGTCTGCAGGGATCACTTAGTGCCAGCAGGAGGGAGCGTGGTCAAGGCAAACCTGTGCCCTGCAGAAGTACCATAGACACCACTGAAGTGAAGGTGCCACTTAAAGCAACACTGAGGTTTCCCCTATGAAGGTTTCTCACATTTGAGCCGGGGCTATTCCTGCCCTTAGGAGGTCTTGCCTCCCTCGCTACTAGTTTATGGCTCTAGTGTGTGGGCTTGGTTGTTTCTGAGCTATTTCCCTTACATTGTTATATCTGGAGCTGCGTGCGTAGCGATACTAGTGAGGATCCTATAGAGCTGCTTTAACGCTGTGCCGCACCAAAAGCGGGGTGTCCCACCCATCAGGGTTAATTACCCTGCTTGCAGTGCTGTAGTGACATCATGTCCAGCTCCTGTTTTCTTCGCTCCAGGGCAATTCTGCAGTCTGTTCTGCTCTTCAATGCTGACATGCCCTAAGGCAAACAAGCTGTTTTTCTAACAGGCTCCCTTTCCTGATGGCTTTTATGGAACAGGAGAAGGTGTGGGGCGGGGGTCAATTCTGCTCTGCCTTTGCTGTTACAACATGCCACTATTCTCACCAGTGTAGATCGTAAGTGTTTCTCTCCCCTTTGCACGGGGGCTTAGGCTGTGCAAGATGCCAGACTGCAGAATCAAGCACCAGGAATTTTCCTCCACCCTTCAGCTTTTCTTTTTTTGTCTTAAACCAATTTTCACATTTTCCACTGCAGTGAGCTATCATCTGACAGCCTGTCCAAACTCAAAACCATCATGCTTAGTTCAGGCAGAAAAATAAAATAAAAATCCCGAGTTTAATTTTTTTTTTAAGTCATTTGGGTATAGGTCCTTATTAAAATTTTAAAATATTCATTGTGGTTTAATATTTATTGGCTGCTTAATACAGAATTTTGACATGCTTCATACATTTTTAAATAGATCTATTCTTCTCTAGCAATTGGCTTTTTCAAGTCACAGAAACCTAAGCCTCCCCTCTGAGACTAAGGTTGGTGACCAGAAAACCCAGGCAGTACTAAAGCAAGGTGGCTGTTGGGGCTGAGCTGACATGGAGGCCAGGACATACAAATATCAGTCTCCCTGCCCATGGCCCTTTTGCTGCCCTTGAGCCCCATTCAGGTCACATTGTGCAGATGAAAACTAGATCTTGTTTTCGGAGTTGCCCAGCCAGGAATTTATTCCTTTTTTCTGGATATTTTCCTGGTTGTTGCTGAATAGTAACCTACCTGCTCAGAAGTTAGACAGAACCTACAAGTAATTTAACCTGCCAGGGATGTCTTAGTTTGGCAGTAGTGCCCTCAGTGCTGAAGGAACTTGCCTTCCTGAGAAAAGCCATTTCCACTGTCAAAAAGAACAGCCTTAGAGGAGCTTTGTCCCCTACGGGCAATGAACGCTCAGCTGGTCTGAGAGCACCATACACAAAAATGTGCTGAGTTGATGGGAATGTGAAAGAAGCTGAGACGTCCGGAGTGCCTTTTTCAAACCCACTGCTGAAGAGGAGCCTGCTGCCCTATTTGTGTATAGCAGGAAAAGCTGAGATATTGCCCCATTCCACGAAAAACTGTATAGAACTCTTCTGGGGATATAACAAAAAGCCAAAATAAAACATCAGGAGATAACAAAAGCAAAGCAATGAGCTTTTTCAGCAAGCAGCTATAGTTTCTGGCATAGCTCCGAGGCGCGGAGCCATTTCCAGACAGGAAACTTCATCCTGTTTTGAATATAAGCATGAGCTCAATTCTGCTCTTAGTCTCAGCAGTATAAATGTGGTGTACGTCTACTAATTCAGTGCATTTTTACTCTGCATTTGCTTTGGAGCAAGTGATTGAAGAATGGCATCTGTTGTGTCCCGTGCTTAGTGCTAAACTATTCTCAATTCTTTGCTAGCCTTGGAAAGAAAATGGGCCACATACCCAGCATTTGTGAGCTCTCTTGGTAGAGAGCTCTCCATTTTTCCCAGCAGAAGAATCTGACCCTTGACACTTTGGTAAAGGCACCTCTGCTCTAACTTTCCCCCCCCCACTATTAAATCTTACTTTCCAGTAGTTAAACCAGATTACGTGAGTGAATTGGAGGCAGATGGGCACGCCATGCTGAGACATACTGAAAGGTCAGATCTTAGTTACAGAATAAACCTTCATCACTCAGCTCAAATTCTCATATAACACTAGGATGAGGAGGAGAGTCTGTATTACCTTGGCGATACTATTCTAGGCACTGCCATTCACCTACTGGGTGCGACTGAATCAACCGTTACTCTGTGCCTCAGTTTCCCCAATTATAAAATGGCATATATTCTACTGCCTTCCCGGTGATGCACTTTGAAGTCCACCAGTGATGCTTTGTCAAAATGCTAGTACAACAAGTACTTTTAGTATTACTTGATTGAGTAAGCCAAGGAGACCCAAAGTTATTGAATCTCTGTTTCCACTGTTTGGTGTTACAGTGACCTCTCCAATGTTGACTACAGTTTAACTCTGTTCCTACCCTATCTTGCAGTATTGTGGGAAAGCAAAAAGCCAAGAATAGAATGCATTTATGTTTGCTGACTTCTGGCTCGACAGCTGCTTCAGTGGCTACCATCTCATTATGGCAGCTGCTGAAGAAGCCCTTCATGATCCAGAGATTTGTTAAAGTAGAACTACTGTTTGCAGCTTTGCAAGTGGGTTTTTTGGTTTGGTATTTTTTAGCTTAGCAGTGGTGAAAAACACATGCTAGTTTTTAGCACTATAGCCAGCAAGCACACAACATCTAGCAATGCCAGTAGAAAGTGGAGTGTTGCTGGAGTGGAGGGCTGGGCTACCAGAACAGAGCATATGCTAAAACCTCTCGATTTTCTAGGACTGCTGTTAGCATTAGCAAACAATCATCTCTGGTTTCAAAGTGTTTATTTCAATCCACTATCATCTTATTTGATTTTATTGTTGGTGGGTTGGTGTTTTTAAATGCTGAAAACAAACTACCCGACAAACTGGAACCAGTCACTATGCCAGCAGTTCCAAAAATGTCAACATTTCTCACGTTACAACACATCTGTTAAATGGTACTGTGGCTTTTGGGATATTTGTCCCCATCTTTCCCCTTATTCCCCTGACTAATTTACAGGGTTAAACTCCCAAGAGGATGGTAGGCCAGAACTCCATACTGGTTCTTGCCTGGTGCTCTGTGAATGTTCCCTGTTCGGGGGAGAAGGTGTCACTTTCAGCTCTGTTTTGAAGAGAAAAGCCTCCCCCAGCACTGTGTGTCTTATGGGTTTGCTGTCTGTGCCTGGGCTGGATTTGTCCACTCCTCTGACTACGGCAAGCAGAGAAGTCGCTTCCTCTTTATATGTGTAAAACATTGACCTATTTATTTGAGATCTACAAAAATGTTCCACATAAGAGTTTTGAGTTACCCTTCCCTGTGCTGCGGAACTGAAATGCTGCTGCACCCACAAATGGAATGGAATCTTGGCTTTTCTTTGTGGGTTTTTATTTTATTTATTTTATTGATTTTTATTTTATTTAAAAGGAAACTCATTCTTTGGCATTGAAAATTCCTCCCACTCTGTAAATTATAACCCTTGGCAGGGAGGGACTGCTTCATACTTTAGCTGTCTGGAGCCGAAGCAACGTGGTGTGTGTGTTGTAAGGGACCCAGAGGAGGGTTGTGTTACCCTGCAGAAAGACTTGGGGCTGTCTAGTGTGGCTTCTTTCCGGACTTCCCCTCTGCAGTAAACAAGAACACACTGATAGCCAGGCAGCAGCAAGGGAATGTGCAACAGTCACTGTTAATACTTCATGCTCCTGGGAAGTATAATGGTCTTCTGAAGAGCACAGGAATCTTCCATCTGACAAAGGTGCAATATGTTGTAAATTAGGTAGCCATTTGCCCTTTACTCCATGCGGTTCAGAAGAGTTTCTCGCTGAACATGCTTTTCGGGTCCACCTAAGGGCCCACGTGTGAACATGCTTTGCTTTGGATGCAAATTACAATTATCAGCCTGTTTTCCTTTTCCTCTGCCATCAGATCCAAATGTTGTCAGGGGCCACAATGTGATAAATGTCATCATCCCTGAGAGCCGGGTGCACTTCTTCCAGCAGCTGGGCTACATCCTGGCAACTCTGCTGCTCTTCATTGTCCTCCTCATCATCGTTGTCCTCGTCACCCGCAAGCGCCGGCAGAGAGGTAAGTGCTAGAAAAGACCAGCCCTGTAGTGCTTATAGGGATATCTCATGACAGGAGAGCTGATTCTGCAAATAATTACTGCAAAGCACAATGCTGAAGGCAGTGATCCTCTTCTGGAAAACCAGCAACCTATGCAGTGGGGAGTCTTTGCAGGTGCTGATGCCAGGAGAGATTCATTAGTGTGGTGTAAAAATTTCCAGGCCTTGATTTGCTGAGTTGCTCTGTTGTAAGGGAGAAGAAAATTAGAACTGCTAGATAGTTACTCTTTACAAGTGGAATTTATTTAGAGCAGAAGGCCCACATGCATCCCTTAGGAACTAAGATGTCTAAGTCCTTGCTGGACTCCGTGTGCTGGGTGACTCTCTGTGTGTAACTAGATAAATGGACACCGAGATCTTTCGGTGACTTCCACACAAATAGTTTTGGATGCCACACAAAAAGCAAATACCAGGGAATGTCTGTCTTCTGGTGTGTTATTTGCAGTACCACATTCATCCTTATTTACGTGTCAGGGGATTAGCACCGACACAAAATGGGGCTATCTCCACTGACCCAAGTGGGGTTATTTTGCAGTCACAAAGGGGACAGTCTCCTGGCCCTGGCCTTTGGATGGAAAAAAGGAGCCTGAGATCATCACTCCTTGCAGGGTGGGGTGAGACAGGAGTGTAGTTAGATAGCTGGCGTGGGGGAGGCCGATGAAAACCAGCATCTGTAACATGTGATGGATGCAGGCCTAAGCAATGAGCTGGGGATGGGCAAGTGCAGCACCAGCACACAAGGGATGACAGGTGTGGTTAATATTTTTGTAATAAATGGGAGGTGTAAAGAAATGAAATACGGCAATTGCTGTAGTTTCTTGTGGCTGGTCATCCATAGATCTGGGAAAACCACTGGAAAGCTGGTAAGTAAAGGAAAGGGAAGCTCCCTGGAGCAGTGGAACACACATCAATTCTTCTATATTGGAGGGATTGTGAAAGTGATCATTGTAAGCATCACAATAAGGAGCACTGTGAATAAGTATTAGGTGTTATTGTTATCACTGTTACCTGGGAGAGGTTGGTTGGACTGGATACGACTGCTCATTCTGTTTCTTCTCCCTGTTTAGGTTATGAATACAATGTGAAGAAGTACGGAGAGTAAGTATAATTACAGGGTCTACTATCTATGATTAGAATACCTAAAAATGAACTTATGGGCCCCAACCCTCAGCTGTCATTAAGAGCCTAAAACAGCTGAGGATCTGGTTAGTACAAGTACAACCATGTAAAGCATAGGCTGTTTGATAGAGTGTATTCATTGCTTTCCACCAATTCTTTTGCAGCTTTAGACTCTGGTTGTTATTAGTGTAATGGTCCCAGGAATATACACTTGCATAATGATTGCATATCAGGGAGCGACTTCCATGCTGTCAAAGTACGGAAGGAGAGAATGGTTTGTAGGGCTGATTTGGCAATTGCATTTCCTCTCATTATACTTTGGGAACTGATTCACAGATCATGTTTCTGTGAGGTGTCGTTAGGAGTTAGTGGTAAAAGGGTAATGCACAGATCTACTGTGAGATTGGGGCCAAGATTGTGTAGCTGGGTTCCTTTATGTTTTGTTATATATTATTAAAGTGGAAGAGATGGGGAAGTTCCAGTACAGATTGGCTCCCTATTGTTCTAAGCTCTGGACAAACACATGGGTTGAAAAGAGCCAGCTAGCGAGAGATCTCAAGGTGTTTCTGGAAAAGACAGTAAAAGGAAGACAGAGGAGAACCAGATTCACTACTAAGCAGTGTGACCTTCTGAAATCTGTTTGATAGGTTAGGGGCAAAGACAGGAAAAGTACCCATGTACAACGGCTGCCAATGCTGTTTCCTATCTGTCATGCTTTCTCCAGGGAAGCGTTTCTAGAAACTGGAAAGGATTCTGTAAGGATTGCTGTGAAAATCACCAGTACTTAAAAGAGAATGAAATCTTCTATGGATTTTTTTCAACTTTTCTCCAGCTATATAGCAAATAAACACTGTAAATTAAATTCTCTAAAGTAGCATTAGAAAAGCTATTGTGAAAAAGTGTGAAAGGAGCCAGTTATTAAAGGATGTGACAATACCATTTTTCACTGTTATTCCTTTTTCAGGAAGGATGTAAATCTTAAAGAATTTACAGTCGACACAACAGATCTGACTCAATTCAAAAGTGAAGACATCAGGCTGGGTATGCATCAACTAGCAACCATTCTCCAAATCAGGTCAAAACTCATTATAACTGAGAATTTTCTAATGGCATTTAGAGGCCAGTTTTGAAATGACTTAACCTCCTGATTTTAAATGGCAACTTTGAGAATCTCAACCCGCAAGTCAGTGCAAGCAGGGGGACTGCAGCTGGAGAGGGCAGTCCTGACTTTTGAGTTTAACTAGAAGCTGATTGATGAGGTTGGTCAGTAACGAGGCACAGCTTCTTTTGTTTCACCTGGAGTTTTTGGGGTTCTTTGACATGCACCTGAAAGCCAAATTCAAGTGAGTGCAAAACAATGTGGAATGAGATCAAGACAGCATCTAGGGAAGAGGATTCCTCAAATTTAAGCAGTTTGTCTAGGGAAGAGGATCAACAAGGCAGTTCTCTAGAATCTCCTGTCCAAGAAACTAAAAGCATTTGTCAATATCATCGTTCTACAGTACATAAAAACTAGCTCAAAGTGAGTGATCTGGAGAAAAAAATTAAATCAACATTCTTTAACACTAACTACTGACCTTATCGTTTCTCTTTAAAGTGTGTCTGAACTGTAGTTGAATGAAGTGGGGATAAAGAGAAGTCATGAGTTAGCCAAGTTCATTGCTTCCACCTCCTATTGAAGCCAGTTTCATTTAACTTTCTACAATTTCATCCTCCCTGGATGTCAACAGTTGGGCCTTCTGTCAGATCTGTGATAGCAATTAGGACAAATAAACTTGGGGAACATGATAGGAAGAAAATGTGCAACAAAGGTCCTAGAATACAAAAGATAGAAAATACAAAAAACACTAGAACTCATGGTAACATGAGACATACTGAAAAGAGGGGAAGGAAGCTAATCTCACTGGTGATCTGTGGAAGTATTTTTGCTGGGATATGTAGGACTGACTTGGGGAACTTACAGCATTCCTGAAGATGGATGCGGCTCCTTACTAGAGCTTGAAGGTGCAGCCTTGAGTTTATTGTGTCAGTTACTGATCAGGGGTGTCGTCTTGCTTGGAATTGGAGTGGATTGTCTGTAAAGCAAAATTGATTCTTTTGTCTGCACTACCCTGAGATTCCTGAAGACTTGCCATGATGCCAAGTTCGTATCTGCTGCAACTTGCCGTATGTTAGTGAATGTGTTGATAAACCAGGAAACAATTTGAGTCTGTCCCTTTTTTTTTCCCTCTGTGCACCCCCAGTAAAGGTACAACTTTTAAAAGAACAAGCTGACGAACTTTAGGTCCCAAGCTACAGAATTGCTTTAAGGGCCCCGGTAAACAAGAGGTAGATACAAAATATGAAGTAAAGAACAAAGTTGTTGCAGAGGGTGGGTTGCAAACCAGGACAGCAGCAAGTACAGATTCTTCTCTGTTTGTCTCAAGAGAGCTCCCCTGTGAGCAAATTCTTTGAATAACTGCATCAGTCACCTTAGGTGAGCTTTGCATAGATAATCCAGAGCTATTTGTTACATGCTGTAAGAATCTGTGATACCTATGAGGAGCAGGAAACTGAAGTATGCAAAACTGATTAGTGCCCCG